GTAGATCAGATTTGAACTGAATTCATGTTGCTTTCTTTACCATTGTTCCAGTTACCCTACTGGACCCAACTAAGAGGACATCAGGCTGGCATATTGTTTTCAATGATGGCTGGCCAAATGCTCAGAGACATTAATAAGCAGGCCATAAGAGCAGCAGCCATTCCATTTGTGAGCCATCTGTCACTTTGAAATAAGCCATTCTTGAATGTGCAATTTCCACTTAGCTGGGATGACAGCCAACTGAAAGTACAACAAAATGTATCCAGAGCAGGTAGGAAGCCCAAGCGTGGGGTTGGGAAAATTGAGCATAGGCATTATGGAAAAGGGAGTTCCAGACAGTGCCTTAAAGCTGGGAATACTGAAAACAGTGTATATTTTAAGACATGTGAGGGTGTTTTGTTACTGTTTTGTCTTAAGTGTGTTTACAATAGTTTATCTTGCTCCTCAGACAAAAAAAGCTCCAAGAACAGCTTACAAATAATCAATAAAACAAGAAAGCTTCTGTCTCCAGTTTGACAATGTAAAGACAACACATAGAAGCAAAAAAAGGAGCAGAGAATCCTCTGGATCTCAGCAGAGCAACAGGTAATGAAGCATGCAGGACAATAGGTGGTTGAAAATTCTCCATGAATGTGTGTCAACATACTTCCATGCCTACTGCATGACAGTGAGGGTTGCAAAGACATCTTCTCTTACTGCCTCCATTGCATTCTGGAGCAGCCACCCAGAAGAGCTGTTCCATGAGGCTTGGGATCTTTAAATATCCACTGCCACCAATGGCATGTTTGAATCTGGTGATGCATTTGCAAGGCACTCTGGGGATTAAATTGACATAGACACCACCACTGGTACAGTGTCTGCTGTACATCTCATCCAATCCTGTGGAATTTGTGCCTTTAAGGCCCAGTGATGCAGACATGACACTTGTAATTCTTGACAACTACTCATATTCTTCATCCATACTCCTGAAGACTAAACCAACTCGTTAGAGGGGAGTGACTGGGTGAGCCCAGCAGGCATCCCAAGTGTCACTGCTGGAGGGATAGGTGGCTGATGCTGGGGAAAAAGGGAATGGTGCACCCACTTTTCAAGAAACTACTTTCAAGCTTCAGACGCTTTTGGAAAAAACACATTGTCTTAGTCCTTTTCCACGTTGGGTTGAAACATAGGTCTCCCTGACAGATAGGACTAAATCAGACTTGGTCTCCTTGACAGATTATCTTTATTGGGACAGATACAAGGAAATGCAATGTTGTTGGTTCTCTGATCTCTCAGCAGCTTTGGGTACCATCAGGAGGATGGTGTTACAGTGGTTCTGCTCAGAACTGTGGGGTCATGTCCAGAGGACAGTATTGGGTGACCATACCTCAGACCTATTGCAATTAAGGAAAAGGAGATGTTCATGCCATCAACTTCCAAAGGGACACTCAACAGCCTGAGAGAACTGTTATGGCACCCCACACACACCTTCCTTGGGGCTATAAAAGACCTATATGCCCTAAGGGAAAGCAGAAGAGGAAAAGTCCAGGCCAGGGACCAAGGAGTTAAATCCTGTATTAACAAACTGTAAACCACCTTAGGTGCCTCGACAGAACAGAAGTATAGAAATGCATTTTATTTGTTTATGATTGAATGAAGTAGATGTGGGGTTCCTCAGGCTTCCATTCTGTCCCTGGTGGCATTCAACATCAATATGATGCACCTGGGAGGAGTCCCTAGGAGATTCCAAGTCAACCATCATCAGCACATTGATGGCACCCACCTTTACATCTCTCTATCCTCCAAGTCAGGAAGTACTGTGCAAGCCCAGCCCTAGTGTCTGGATACAGTGTAAGCTGGATGAAGTCCAGTAGATGGAATCCTGACCTGATACTATGGATAAACAGTTCTGGTATCCAGAAATTAGGGAACCTGCTCGTTCTTTCTGAAGGAGCAAGTATATAGCTAAAGGGTGCTCCTGAGTCCATCACAGCCTCTGAAGGAGCAGGTGCAGGTTTTAGGGGGTACTCCTGGGTCTCTGATTGTCACAGAAGCACAAGCAGTTTCCAGAGAAGTGCCTTTTCCCAACTTCAGCAACTAAGCGATTTCTGAGTATAGCCTGACCACAGGGATCCACCCTGTGGTGACCTCAGAATCTGACTGTTGCAATGCACTTTATATAGGACTGCCTCTGAGGCTGGCCCAAATGCTGCGCTTATGTTGCTTAGTGGGACAGCCTACCAGGATCGCAAGGGATTGCACTGGTTGGCAATGAACTACTGAGCCAATTCAAGGTACCTGTTTTCATATATAAAGCCTTACACCGCTTGGGACCAGGATATGTGATGGAGGACTTTCACCATTATGAACCCCCCCCCCCCATTTTAAGCCTGAATTGGGATGTTCTCTTGACAGGGCTGCATTTGCCTGGAGTTCAATATGCAGCCACTTGGAAAAGGGTGTTCACAATATAGCACCCCAGCTGTGGAATTCCATCCCCCTTCATATATAAGTAGTGCCAAGTCATATAAGCTGCTAGTGCCATCTAAAGACCTGCTTGTTTACCTTGACTTCTAACTCAATTTTCCTCTTTTCATTTGTTATACTGTGTCAACATTTGTTATTTCTCTCTCCTGTTTGTTTTTATCAATGTTGTATTTATTGCTTACAACTGCTTTGGGATAATTTTAGTTATTTAAGCCCAAACTTGTTTAAGCAAATAATTTAAGGTCCATGGGTGACTAACAGCCATGAATAGACATCTCCTTCAAGAATTTATCTAAACTTTTTATGCCATACCTATTGCAGTTTCAGTATTACACTCCACTAGCATTGAAATCACACAGTGAAAATAAACTGCATGGTCCAAGTATTGGGCTCCTCATAGCAGAGGAGATGCTAAGCAGGAAGCCAGAAGAGCCAGTGCAGTGTAAAGAACTGGGACTCAGGCAATCTGGATTCTAGTCCCCGGTCAGCCATAGAGCCCATTGGGTGACTCTGGGCCAGCCACAGACTCTCAATCCAACATACCTCACAGGGTTTTTGTTGTGGGGATAAAATTGAGAACAGCAGGAAGAGAATGATGTAAGTCTTGTTGAGTTCTTTAAAAGAAAAAAGGAAGATTATAAATCTAATAAAATACATAAATAAGAGAATGGTTATAAGCAAAGTTGATAGGAATCCTACCCCAATTCCAATCTGGTTATCTCAATAAATCAGCATCTTCAAGCAGATACTGAACAGCTGCGGAAGGATGCTCTAGATTTGTTGCATCAAACAGGGGGTTGGACTAGACAGCTATTTAGCATTCCTTGGCTTCAAAGATGAAATTTCACTAGGTACCTTCAGATAGTTCTCTACATTATGGAAGAATAAGCACCATTACTCTAACGATTCTGGAAATTTTGTGGAAGAATTGGAGAGACTTGAAAAAAGGCAGAAAGACTACCCCAATATAAGCAACAGAAAGTTAGAATACAAAAAGACAGAAATGGAAGATGGTACAAGAGGGCCAAAATGCTTTTCAAAACAGAATTGCATGAACTAAAGCATCCAAAGCATATACCCTTCAAAATAAATTGCACATTTCAGCACAACAGAACAGTTCCACAGTGGTGGAGCCAAGATCCAGACACATGATCCTTCTTTTCTTTTACATAAAATATAAATTTCACCAATCAAGGAATAAATATGACTATAGACTCTATGACTACAGAGACATGCTCCCCACAGACACTGACCAGAGGAACAAGATCACATTTTCCCAGAAAACCTATACAAATATGCACAGATCACCTGCTTTAGTCTGCAGCTTGGCTCACTTATTTTAATCAACTATATGGATTTCTTTCTGCAATGTACCTGCAGTGCGCTTGCAAAACATTTTATGATCTGGATGGCACGGGTGGGTTGGGGGCGTTGGCCAGGGTGGTGATGGCAGGCTTTTGGATGATACTGTGATTCAGATGTACAACACAGAGACTTAATTAGAAGTTCCCTATTGACTCTTCTTCTCAGTGGATGCTTAAACAGTATAGTGAATCCTAAACAATGAAGTGGACTTGGGATGCTTCTAACAGGTATGTGAGTACTGCTGTTATAAAAGATGAGGGCAGGATGTCTGACTAGAACTCTTGCTGGGAGGTAAAGATGAAGTCTAACCCATGTGCCCCCATAAAGGTTTAGTTGTATTCATTGTAGATAAGCATTTTAGCAGTTATTAAACATGATGCCTCCATGGAAAGTCTATGTACAGATGCAGGAGTTCTCTCAATATCTGTTGTTGCAGAATAAGCAACAAGGCAGCTGGATGTTGACAGCTGAATGGCAGAGGATGGGGCTGAAATTAGATGTGAGCCAGCAGGATGTTTGTACATTAGTTATAAGGGTTAAATGAATTTTTGATGGCCAATAGCTAGAAAACCTTATAGCTGGGAATAGAAATTCCACCATTCCAATAGAAATGCCATACTTGGAAATACTAAATGTTACACTACACACATTCAACATGGTAGTGACTCAGAGACTGAGCTGTGAATCAGGAAGTCCCTAGATCAAATTTCACCTCTGCGTTGAACTCATTGGGTGATCTTAGGTGAGCCTCCTTTCCCCACACAAATCTGCAATTTTGGAGCCAATAGCAACTTATTTCACAAGACTACTGTAAGGATTATGACCAGAAAATGCATGTGAAGTGTTCAGACGATCTCGATGCATCTCAATCCAATACATGTCTACATAAGGAAATCCCAGCATTATTGATTCATCAGGGTTTCTGCATGAAGATCGTCCGGAGAGCGAATCCGCTCTCGCACTCTTCCAAGACTGGCATCGCCCAAAAAGCCCGTCCTGCCGCTGAGGGGGGAGCAGAGGGACACGCCCTCCCCATGGGGAAGAGAAACACCTGCCGCCCCTCCAATCAGGGCTCTCTCCTCCTCAGGGTCGGGGTGGGGGGCAGAGGGCACACGCACGGAGAGACGCGCCCGCCCGCCCGCCCGCCCGCCGACCGCTCCCGCCCTCACCTTATTCGGAGATTGGCCATGAACTCCGGCATGGAGACGGCGTCGAGGAGCACAAAGTCTGCCTTGCCGAACTCCAGGCTCTCTTGCGCTGCCATGGCGCCGCCAGGAAGAGACGGAAAGCCACTCCGCCGGGCAACGGGAAAGACGGAAACACTAGGAAAGTCGGGCAGGGCAGCGCAGCGCCCGGCGGACAGGCGAAAAAGGGCGGGGCGCCGCTGCGCAAGCCCCGCCCTCTCACCTGAGGCGCCGCTCGCGACTGAAGGCGCATCCCGCCCGGGAGAGGGCGGCGTTCCCCCTCCTGCAGTGGGAGGAATCCGCGCCCGCTCCCGGACCGTCTCTCCAGGCCGCAGCAGTGCCACCTGGCGGCCCGCTCGCGCCTCCGCACTCGTGTGTGCGAGTAACGCATTATCTGCACAGTACCGGTCGTGGGCACGTGTTTCTTAGGCTTGTAGCCCGCCTTTCCTCCAAGAAACGCAAGCCCGCTTCTATGGTTTTTCAGAGAACGTGCGGCCCAAGTTCAACGGGAACCATGGCTAAGAGGAGAGTTTAACCGGCATCTCGCCGTGCCTATTCTGACACTAATTGCTACACCACAAGTGCCTTAACAAAGTTGTTTAACCAAGTCCATGTTCCCCTATCTAAAACAGACATATGGAGAGATTAATATAGTTGAATAAAGTATGGATTGCTATGTTTATATTTTGCCTTTCCTCCAAAGAGCCAGGCAATGGCTTTTCCTCATACTTTTCAACATCTGTGTGAAGTCAGTGAGATAAGTCACCCACATGTTTGAGCGGAAGTGTCATCAATACACAGGTGACACACAGCTTCTGCTCTCTCTTCCATCATCTAATACCAGAGAGGCAGCTGAAACCTGGCCAGGTGCCTGGAGGCAGTAATAAAATGGATGTGAAACTCAATCCAGATAAAACAGAAATATAAAGGTTGGGAAATCTGCTGATCTGGACAAAGGGCTAGATCTGACTCTGGATCAGGTCACACTCACTCTGAAGAGCCAGGTATACAATCTGGGAGCGCACCAGGTTCCCACGCTTTTTGCAGAGGTACAGACAGTGTCAACATTTTACACCAGCTTAGACTGGTTTGGTAGCTGTGGCTTTACCTAGAGAAAGGTTGTCCAATCCACAATGCCACATTCCTCAATTGCATCCAGGTTAGATTTCTGTAGTGCACTTGGGATGGGGATGTCATTGAAGATGAGTCAGGTATTACAACTGGTATAAAAATCTATTAAGTAATAGGTGGAACTAGCAATAACCCAAGATAGCAGTTTAAACTGGGATCCTTTTTCTGCCCTGTTGAATTAAACAGAAAGATACCTCACCAATATTTAAAGAGAAGGCCACAAGGAATGCAGTTAATTTGTTATAAAAGCTGATTGCATATTTTGGGCCAAAGACAACAGAGCAAAGTTGAGGAGAAGAGGATGGCACAGACTTGACCATGGTACACAAACATCTAGAACAAATGGGAGGAGAGATCCAAAACAATTAAGAACCTGAAGGTACAGATGGGCAAGATGGCAGCTAAACTCACCAGGAGGGTGGGGGTGGAATCTTAGGCCATTGACCTCAGTTAAGGAAAAAAAGTTCACCGAAACAAATTTAAAACTCCAGTACTGCTTACAATACCTTGCAAACTATAACAGCAGGCCAACTTAAGATTCAGGGGTTCAGCAGAAGGGCAGAAAAATATCCAACAAACAAGCATCTGGCTGGTCAAAACCCTCTTGGAGGCAAAGATTGTGCGCATAGATATACAAAGGGCTCTTTATGCAAGACCAACAGAAGGAGCAACTGTAAATGAATTTAGGTATAGCACGACTGAATTATAGGCTTTTACAACTCAGTTTTAAAAGACACCATCTTAACCAAATCATGTGCAGGAACAAAATTTGTATACAGAAAATGCAAATCTAGCAAGGCATCAATCCTGATATCCTACAAAACAGAGAATATTGTCCAGATCAGCTAAAACAAGGTTTACTGACAGCATAAATTGCAATTCACCAAGATGAAATGACTACAATACTCATCACATATAAAGAAGCAAAAGAACTCTTGCTACCCATATGATCCACATCCATGAATGATCCATGATCCATGAATGAAAGGAGCTCCTTTTCAGCTAAAAGGAAGGCTGAAACTGCAGAGGATAGTCCCCTTAGCTGTGAAATTGGACTTAAAATTAGAGGGGGAGAGCAAAACAGTTAAACACCTTTCCTAAGCTAAGCAAGAGAAAATGTAGAAGAAAGCATAAGAGACATGCTCTTTGCTAAATATCAACAGCAACAGGGCGGCCTCTTGAATAATAGCCCCTAAACATTGCTGCAGGTTGGCTCTCAGGACAGCAACCATCCCTCCATTCCCCAGCTCAGTGTGCCTACAGTCAGCATTGGCCTAGGCATCAAAGAAAGGCTCACTATTTACAATGGACTGCACCGGCATCCCATATCCCTTTGGGAAAAAACATGGGGAGCCCCATAAAAAAAAAAAAAAGTATTTAAAATGGAAACTGACAGCTCCCTACTTTTTCAGCTTTCCCAACACCTAGGGAAAGGGTAGAAAGCTGAGGGGACCCTCAGTGGAACCTGGCCCAAGAGGAATAAGGCGAGAGAAAAGAAGTGCCTTGTGCTGGGAAAATTTGGATAAATCCTGTCATAAAAACATTGCTTCTGTGTGCTTTTGCATTGTGGAATCAATCCTGTACTACTCCTCAAACCAAGCTAAGTCACTGTTTAAAATGGCACTGGAATTCAGAGTTTACCAGGAAGTATGTTTTGATAGCCCAGAGGGCTTCGTGTGCTCTGGTCATTCAGAATGGTACATTACTTAGGGTCTGAGTCTAGATAAGCTTATGAGTTCATGAATAGTTTCTCAGTAGCTTGAATTTACATGTCTAAGCAGACCTGGAGATGGGTTCAAGTTACTCAACTAAAGTGTCAATACACTGCAATTAGAAATATTGTAATCTCATTGTCTTTGTATGATTGACATTCCTTTATCTGTTCTGTGATGACCTCAGAACCTTATTGTAATGTCTGCATTCTGTCATCAATTGCCCTGTACCTGTGTACGTGACCAGCAGGGTATAAAAATACCCTGTAGTTGTATTGAAGTTTTGCAGCAAGTTTACCTCTGCCTGCCAGGTAATTCATTACCGTGAGTACGGACCCGCGGGGAACCTGGGTCAAACAATAAAGCCACAGATGGTCTGGACGCTTGATCTTTCCCATGAACCCGAGTTTTATTTCCTCCTCACAAATTGAAATTCCGGGATTTTCTGACACTTGAGAATCTTGTCACAAAGGGGAGGATCTGGCAGCCACTCTTTAGTTTCTCTGGACTTTTAAGAAACTGTTGAGACAAACCTGAGTAAGGAATAAAGTTCTTGGCAGCCTTTCTTGGTCAATATTCATTGGAGTGGCTGCTGCATTTTGATAGGAGACACCTCCCTACCTGCAGAAGTACACAAATATACACTCATGTGAGTGCAACTGAAAAGAAATGAAAATTGGTACATTTAACACACCTTTTTAAAGGCTGATGATCCAGTGACAATCTCTCCAGTGTGCACTTGGGCTTTTTAAACAGGCTGTCACTAGCTGGAAGACCAGACACTGCATTTTGTGGTCTCCAAAAAAGTGTGTATGTGAGGTGGGGGGGGGGGAGATAAAGGGACAAGATCTACAGCATGGTGGGGGGCAGATGGCACTGGAAGCAGCCCAAGCAAGCTTGGCAAGAGCTGTAAGGTGGTTTTGCAGCTCCTTCCAAACAGTTTGCTAGCTTGTTCCTGATATCCACAGGGGAGTTGTTTGTGTTCAGATGACATGGAAAAACACTTCATTGTCACCACATCCCCTAGCATGAGCCATGCATGTCAGGGAGGCTATTTGTCTAGTAGAGAGGTATCTAGTTTTTTATTTTCTTTAAGAACACAAAGCAGATTGCATCATTCTCCCCTGCCTGCTCTCAATCTTATCTCCACAGCAAGAACCCCGTGTGGTAGGTTGGGTTGAGAGTCTGTGACTGGCCCAAAGTCACTCAGTTGGCCCCATGGCTGAGCAAGGATCACCTGAGTCCCAGATCCACACTCTTAACCTCTACATCCCACTGGCTCTCAATTTGCCAGTGAACAAGCTACCCTGAAGGAAACAATCCAGGCTTACATGACACTATGACTTGTCACCCATGATGGGTTGTCATGTCATGCAACCCCACTTAGTAGGGTTCTCAGAAAAGCCCACACAATGCCAGACAGACAAATAGATTCACCATGACTTCCCCCCAGCCAGTCTTCCAGAAAGTACCCTAGTGTCCCTTGCAACAAACCCTGTCTTATCTTCCCTGCTCTGCTATAATCACTACATCTTTTTATTTGCCACAGCTTTTTCTTTCTTTCTCTCTCCTCCTCCTCCTTTTTTTTTTTAAGCACAGAGTTTTGGCCCCTGCAAATGGCAGAGTTGTGTTCAGCTTTTTTTCATTATCATTTTTGCTGGCCTTTCACAGGTGCACCTGTGCAGACATCACACTATCCAGTATGTGCAGCCTTGCCTTGTTAGTTTTAGCTGTAAAAAGTAGTAGCAAGGTGGAGAAGGTAAATACTTTTATAAGATATTTGCAGATCAGTTGATAACAGTTAACCAAACTAGAAACCAGCCCTACAAACTTGACAATTTTCTCCACTGTTGTTTGTTTTGGCAGTTGTTTGGGATCAGTTGTGGTCTCAAAGCCTGATAAAAACACTGAAGACCTAGAAATGCACAGCTCTATTGTCCTAGTTAATGAATAAAACAATCCTCTCACCCTCTCAGCAGGTGCTCTTAAGCCTCTGAGCTTAGAGTCTTAGGAAATCCAGTGCAAGGTGCAGGGATTGGGCCCAGTCTTCCCCTGATGCAGCCTTCAGCAGTTTCTGACTTGGTTTCTGATTCAGAAGTGGAAGATGAGGCAGGCTTGGATTTGTAGCTGAAATATCAAGGACAACAGGCCCAGAGATAATCCAGGCAGTCACTGAGAAGCAAAAGCTTTAAGTCTGGGAAGGGGAATTCTGGGGTGAACTTCACATTATTAGTTCAATTATAGGGCTTCACCCTT